TGGACCAAAGCTACCAATATTTGTCTCAGAAAATCTTACTCCTAAGACGAAACGATTGTTCTTCCTAGCGCGAGATTATGCTACACATCAGGGATTCAAATACTGCTGGTCGTCAGTCGGCAAAGTATTTCTACGTAAGGAAGATGGTTCTCCTATAATTCGTATCAGCTCCGAAGCAGACATTGCATCGCTTAATATGAAACAGTGACTAGTCTATTTGACTTTATTCAACTTGTTCAGTTATGCGCTTCATTTAAAGTTTAAAATTATTTTGTTTTTTAAACAAAAATTAATGAAAAAGTACGTAATACATAAATTGCAAAATTATACACATACACTTTCTAGACACACACTAACTATTTACAAAAGGTTGCAGACTGATGTACAAATAAAAAATATTTTTTCAATACAACTAGCTAAAAAACGCATGTGTACTAATGTTGTAATAAAAAACATTACACTATATTTTTCATTGCCATTTAAAACGACTTCATTAAATCAAATGTCATACAATACATTAGTAAAAAATAATTTATTTTCGTCATTGAATAAAATCCTTAATAACTTTCGCAAAATTCACTCCAAATGATGATATTTTAGATAGCATAGACTCTTACTCACCGGCCACGTCATGCATTTGCGATGTTGAAGACATTAGTGCCCAATTACCTCACAATAATCGCTTAATAGTGTTATCCCAGAATATTAGAAGCATTAATCGTAATATAAATCAAATGGAAGTCCTATTAACAAGCCTCAATTTTAATATTGATATTGTAGTATTATCGGAGTGCTGGCTGAAAGACAACTCTACACCACCAGCTCTCAGTAACTATAAATGTTATCATACCTTGAATTGCAATACTCAGAACGAAGGAGTTGTGGTATATGTCAGTAACTTAATTACCGCCGATGTTGAAGAACCTCCGTTCCTCGATGCTAACTGTCTTGTGGTCAAACTATCTAACCATACGTGTATAGTTGCGATCTATCGACCACCTTCTTATCATAATATCGATAACTTTCTAACTTCACTCAATGATACATTACAAGTACTTAATGGGTATAAAAATGTTTATATAACGGGGGACATTAATATAAATATTTTAGAAAATAGTGGTCATTCGAATGATTATCAGAACTTATTGAGTTTTCATGGATTTCTCCCCGGACACATGATTCCTACCCGAGAACAGAGTTGTTTAGATCACATTTTAATAAAATCAGGGTTAAATTCATCAACTGCTGTTATACGTACTACTCTAACAGATCATTATACTACCATCTTAAGCGTTGAAAAAAGAAACCATACACTTAAACCTCCGTCTATTATTAAAACCATAGACTTTGCTGGTGTGGTTCATGAGTTGGAGATTACAGATTTTAGCCCCATCTTAGAATGTAATGATACGAATATAGCTACCAAACTACTGTCGTCTACTATAAATAACGCCGTTTACAATAACACAAAAATAAAATTTGTTTCAAATCGGAAAACCATTATTCAGCCATGGATCACACCGGGATTATTACGCTGCATAAGAAATCGTGATAAACTTCATGCTAAAGCAAAGAAAAGTCCTGGTAATGCGGCAATGACTACTATCTATAAACGATATAGAAATTTTTGTAATGATCTTCTGAAACGAGTCGAAAATGAATATAATAAAACTTTATTTGAAAAAGCTAAAAATAATACCAAACGGACATGGGGCGCAATTCGTACTGTTGCTAAACTAGGTTCAAACAATAGTGATACTAGTGAGCTCCTCCATCTTACAGACAACCCTAGTGACTCAGTTAATAAAGCTAATAATTATTTCGCTAAAATAGGAAAAACTCTGGCTGAAAACATTATTCAAGATACTCTCTACTATTCAAATGAACCCAATGTTACGATTTCTAACTCTTTTGTATTGACTGAGACGGACTGTCATGAGGTTCACAATACCATTATGGAACTCAAAAATAGTCCTGCTACAGGTATCGATGACATACCTACAAAAGTCCTAAAAATAGCTTCGCATGTCCTTGTACCCCCAATTACTCACATATGCAATAGGAGTTTCATAGAAGGTGTATTTCCTAATAGTTTCAAAACTGCACTAATCAAACCAATTTTTAAGGCTGGGGACAAAAAAAATATCACCAATTACAGACCTATTTCTATTTTACCTTCACTGTCAAAGGTCTTAGAGCGACTAATAAATAAAAGGTTAAGGAATTACTTACATAAATATAACATCATTTCGGATAATCAATACGGTTTTACTTACAAAAAGTCGACCGAACATGCTGTTAATGACCTTATTTCACATATAGTTACACAATTAGAACAAAAAAAGAAGTGCTTGGCAGTATTTTTGGATCTGGCTAAGGCCTTTGACACTGTTTCTGTACCACTACTGTTAAACAAACTGGAAAAAATAGGCATCAGAGGCACAGCTTTGGATTTGTTTGCAAGCTATCTTAATAATCGAACACAACAGGTCTCGGTCAATAATATTGTAAGCGATACACAACCAATTCAATACGGGGTGCCACAGGGCAGCGTTCTTGGTCCTAGTCTATTTTTAATTTATATTAATAACCTTTGCAATCTTCAGCTTGATAAGGGTAAAGTATTTGCTTTTGCTGATGACACAACTCTAGTATTTCAGGGCTCATCGTGGGATGAACTAAATGGTACAGTTGAGACACAGCTCGGTCAAGTCATGAAGTGGTTACGTCAAAATTTGCTCACCCTCAATTTAAGTAAGACCAAATTCGTTACCTTCACAAAGCTAGAATGCCTTCAACCTTGTAATTTGCATATAAAGGCTCATACATGTACATCTCGTGTCAATCCTGAGGTTATATGCTCATGTGATTATATAGAACAAGTGCCATTTATAAAATATCTCGGCGTATACATTGATTCGACTCTTTCATGGAAGCACCATACTGAAGCACTTACTAAACGGATTCGTAAACTTATTTATATATTTAAACGTCTAAGATCCGCTACTGAACTTAAATTACTTAAAATGACATATCTTGCACTATGTCAGTCATTGGTAACGTACTGCATAACAGCATGGGGCGGTACGTACAAACGTTACATGATGAATATTGAAAGAGCTCAGCGTGCAGTACTGAAAGTTATGATGTGTAAACATTATACATACTCAACTGTCCAAATATATGCTGACGTAAAAGTTCTAACAGTCCGCCAACTATTTATCCTCAAGTCTATATTAGATTGCCATTCAAAAACAACTTATAATCCATTAGAAGTAGCAAAAAAAAGACGCAAAGATATAGTTTTCAAAACCGAATTATGTTCGTCATTCGCAAAACGACATCAAATGTTTTTGGGACCTATGTTATATAATAACGTAAACCGAGCTATTGAAATTTTCTCTAAAACACGTAAAGAATGTAAATTGGCAGTTACTAAGTACTTACAACTAAAATCCTATGAGGAAACTGAAATAATGCTGCAAACAATACAATAAATAAAATAAATTGATACAATGTTAGTAATTTATAATTTATAATAACTAAAATAATCAAATTTATACACATACACACAAGCACACATCACTCACGCACGCACACATATACACACCACTCACACAAACACACACACACACACACACAAGCGCGCGAGCGCACCCACATCCACACAAACATGTCAATCTCCGTTTGCATGAAGTTTTTTGCGTACTGCTTTATTTGCCACAAATTTGTTATATATATTGCTATCTTATTTTTCTCTTTATTTCCTTATATTTTATATTGTTCTACGTAACTTATTCTCCACACAGTGTTCACTTTGTAATTTGAGTCTGAGAGTGAGGGATCGGAATACTGTAACACAGGATATCCTAGTACAGGTTCCGCTCACTCACAATGGTAATAGACCTAATCTAAGAATACCATTGTGATTGGAAATAAATGATTATTATTATTATTATTATTATTATTATTATTTGTAAAAAGATCAATTCTGAAATAAAGCCAGTGTTCCTGCCGTTCGACCTAAGCATAATGAACCGCAGTTGTACGGGAAAATTTTTAATTCGGGCTGAGGTTAGTATACACTCTTATGGAAAGAAATGACAGATGTTAGTAATAACAACACTAATTTACTTTATAACGTTTTTATTTAAAAAAACCGACCTCAAAAGTTCGTGGATTCATAGATTTGCCAAGTTTTATTGAAATCGGTTACCAGAAAGTGCACGAAACTGGATTCATCCCGTAGTTTGCTATACTTAAAGTGGAATATTTTCTTAAAATTTAAATGGGACCAATACTTAGGTACTGTAGTCTAGGCTCTACTTATGAGTAGAATTGCTGGCTGAATATAGCTAGTGAATATAGTTTTTGTAATTACTATGCTTTTGAAGGATTGAAATAAGAAAACAGAAGATCTTGACATATTACAGATTACATCCTAGACTGAAAGTATAAACCATGTAAAAAATGTGAAATAAACCAAATCTTTGTAGTTAATCCCAGTTTATATTCTTAGAAGTACCTCTCGCTACGCATTAGAGCTACGTCCCAGTTACAAATGGTGGAATGCGCCGGCTTACAAATGATAGAAGCCAGTTACAAATGGGATACAAATGATGGAATGTGATAGCTGCAGGATGAGGACAAGGCAGCTGGGAGATCAATAGTGATGTAACCCAGTGGTCGTCCGATGGATGTTCAAGCCTGTGTCGTCGTTGTGGCAGCACGCACTTTGGAGATAGCTTAGGCTTAGACAGTTAGGAACTTGTAGTAATGTTTAGAAATTTATTAGGATCATTCAGCCTCGTTCCAACAAACTAAGAATCATCAAAATCGGTTCACAAATAATGCCGGAGTAATAGAGAACTCTCCTTTTTTAAGACGGTTAAGAATTACGTGAAAAGGTCGACCTTAGATACTTTTCACCGGGACTTTTTTTAAGGATATTCTCAATTTGAGATATTTCCCCATATTAAAGAACCTAATAACTTTTGCAGGTAGTACAAATGTCTGGTTACCAAGCGAAACGGCTGGCAAAGATGAGCGGCAAGAAGGTCGAGGATATGTTTGAACGACCGCAGTGGGTCGGCGGGACAGAATCCGATATGTTCAACAAGCTGGAGGAAATTGCCGGTATGATATTGCAACTTGCCGTTTTTTTTTGTTTTTATTATACTAAGTGATGGGACGAACAAGTCTTGCGCCTGATGGTAAGCGACACGCCTGTCCATAACAGTTCCAGTGCCACTCAGAGCTTTAAATCGCAAAGATCTGAGGTGCACTGTCTCTGTGTCCATCACCCCGAAACATAAGTTAAAAGTCCCATGTGCCTGTAATTTCACCAACACCCATACCCTTCAAAACTGGTAAGAAGTAATACTTACATTACTGCTTTGTAGTTTCACAAGGAGCTCTACTACTACTAAATCGCATTACTCATGGAAGAATGGCGTAAGTGGAGTTATGTCAAACGTTTATTGTTTCATTAATCGATATATAACCCACATCCTCTGCAATTGTTGTGACTCTATCTACAATATTAATAAATAGAATGGCAATAATTGGAGAGAGTGTGGGTTATAGCAGTTTAGTAGCAGTAGAGCTCTTTGTAAAAGAGTTCGTCCAGGCTAGTACTGCCACTTTACCTATTTCTGCCGCCAAGCAGTAATGTCAGCATTGTTGTGTTCCGGTTTTGAAGGGTAGGGGTGCTGGTGAGATTACAGGCACATGGGCCTTATCAACTTGTGTCTGAGGGTGACGGGCGCAATTGGCAATGTCCCCCAGGTCTTTGTGATTTAAAGCTACCATCAGGCGCGCGACTTGTTCGTCCCGTCGCTTGATATTATAAAAAAAATATTTTACTGTATCTAACTGAGCAGTAAACATTTTTGATGTTACTCCACTTATGCCATTCATCCTTTGTAGAGAAATAAGCATTATTATTATTACAAAAACATACAAAATTGGAATGTTACATGGCGCGCAGAGTCCCCGGCGCCGGCGACGGCGTTCCTGCGCGGGCGCCTGTCGCGCGCGCTGGAGCACGCGGCGGGGCGCTGGGGCGGCACGCGCCTCAACTGGTGCGTGCAGAGCGCGGCCGCCGACTTCCTGCACCTCATGCTGGTTTCCATGCGGCACCTAGCGCCCGACGCCAGGTCAGTGCCGTACGTTACGCGGCCAAACGCGGTGCCTCAGTGGCCTCGAAAGGTCTCGGGTTCGATTTCCGGGCAGGTGGTCGATTCAGAACCTTACTATCGTAACACTTTGGTACTGTGCACTTAGTTCTATGCATTTTACACTTCTCTTATTATTGTAAATAAAGCCAGGATTATGTTCAATTTTATTAATTTATTTTAATACGAGTTCTAAAAATTTATATAAAAGAATTTTATTTTTTTTTATAATCCATTTCATCGACTAACTCCGTAAACGCTGTCGAATAACGATATTGTATCCGAATCGAAGAGTTCTGAATCGAAGTAAATAAATAAATAATCATCTGCGTAAATTAAAATATCTGCATCCGCATTGATTGATGCTGATGTTCATTGCGGCTAAAAGCAAGTTAAAGTAAGACCAGATTTGAAATGATTGGACAGCAGCTAAAAAAAAGAATCATAGGTAAAAAAATCTTTATAACGGCTCCATCGTTTTTGTTCAGAATAGATACCTGTCAAACGTTAAAATTTTCTGAACGAAAAAAATTAGCTTTTCTGAAAAGTGGGAATTTTTCAAAATGGAATGGAATGCTGACACTGTCAAATATGGAAAAATATTTATTTTTCCGAAAAATATTTATTTTTCCGAAAAATAGCCACAACAAACCACACACACTTTTTTTTAAATTAATTGTATAGATAATCTTGTTTCCTCTTATTCTGTATTTTATGTGTGTGGAAATAAATGAAATGAATGGAAATTTTTCCATGACTCATTACTAATGATCTATTGGCAGTGAAAATAAAATGTGTGAAGCGACCATTATTAATCGAGCCTCTAAACGTAACGGTGGTTGACTTTAAACTTAACAAATTGCCGTTTAACAAACTTTTTCATCCAGCTCGCATATAAACAAATATAAAATTTTTAAATCATACGTATTTTACAGATTCTGCCTGAGTTTCCACGACGAGGTCCGGTATCTGGTTCCAGATGAACACAAGTACGAAACCGCTTTGGCACTGCAGATCACCAACCTTCTTACTAGGGCTTTTTGTTCACAAAGGTAGGTAATAATAGTACATTGTGTAATAAAGGCGGTAAATAAGAAATAACTAACGTGAATTTATCAGACGCCCGAAGCCGAAGACTGAGGGCTTAAATGACTCGAGTACATGTAATACAGTGTTTTATTGAATGTTAGGATGTTTCACCACCATAATATTCAATTATTTTTTGTGAAATTACTCCATTATTAGTTTGTTATAATTATTAATACAAAGATCGAACACTTAGAAAAAACTCCTTTGATCCGGCCGGATTCGAACCGACGTCTTCTAGCAAACCGTGTCAGACGGTATGCCAACTAAGCCACGGAACGAACCAGCGGATCTCACGGATTCTTCTGTGCTTGTTTTGTCGGATATTTGTATCTGGTTTTTAACGATATTTTAGCCGTAGCGCCATCTATCACCGAGTACTTACATACAATGCTTTTTATCACATTTGCGAGGACATAAATACAATAATTAATACTATTCTTCCATATATAATACCATAATGCAGTAAAATGCAAAAACACATACAGCCATGATGTATACGATATAAATAAACAATTTCAAAATACAGCAAAATTTGAATTTATAAAATTAATTCAGTAAAATAGTTAAATTGCAAATGATTAGTTTTTTGTATATACTTCAAGCTTATGCGAAATACGACCAGATTTTTCGAGTATCAGAACTTCGTCCGTACTCTGTCTTGGGCGTTTTGGTGCATTTATTTCATGTATACAATAAGTACAGTAAAGCAATAGCCAACACATGCAGTGATAATGAAAACAGGTATGATAGTGTAAATTGTCTTTTTCAGGGTTGGTATCCGTGATCTACCTCTATCAGTAGCATTCTTTACCTCCGTAGAAGTAGATCAGGTGTTACGTAAAGAATCAAACCTCTGTTGCACCACACCGTCAAATCCACACGGACTTGAGAAGGGATATGGTATACCCAATGGTGAATCTTTGAATATTTTCGATGTTTTAGATAGATGCAAAAATAAACAAATCTATAAG